GCAATAAATACATATTGAATCTATTATAATATAATAATTTTTATTATCTTATTAATATAATGGAGGCATATTTTTGAATTTTTATTAGCATCTCAATATATCACCGCCTTGTCATCCAGTTTTGGAAATTCTCTTCAACATTGCATTCCACATCGACCACATTGTATTCCATAATCCTTTCTTTCATATTTCCCGTCAGAGAATGCACATCCTACTTATTAGACATTTTTCGATATCATTCAATAATCGTGTCGAATATCATTAATAACGATTAATATCGTTAATAATATCATAGAGTGGGTGTAGAGTATATATATATATATAGAATATCTTTATCTGTTCTTACTCTCTCTAAATTTCTCTAAATATTCGATAAATAATATCAAACTTTACAAAATAAATGTGAGAAAAAAACATGTAATATACTAATATACTAATAAAGTACGTGAAACATGTAATATACTAATAAAGTTTAAAATAATCAATATATCATTAAAATCTTTCAAAAACAGAACAATATTTTAATACATTTGTATAAACATTCGCAATAATTTGTAAATCATTTTGTACTCTCGCCATAAAGGACGGCAAATATCATCTTCCATAAATCAAGAAATATACCTTTCTATGTAACAATAGAATTCTTGCAATTAGTTTACACAATTGCTATTGAAGATCCGTGTAGGTGCGATATAAAGTGGCAAGTAACAATTAAAATTAATTCTTCTTGTTTTATTTAACAAAATGATTCCAAGTATAATGATAGCAAAGTATATATAATATATAGTAAATAATATAGGGAAGTAAATAAAAGAAATGAAAATTGGGACTGATCTATAATTAAGAACATAATGGAGAATGAAATAAACCATCGATAATCGGGTCAATGTTTTAGACGAATCAAGGAGTTTTAGTCCATTCACTGTTTCAATAACAAGCTGTCTCTCGTTTTAATGTTTCGCGTCGCACAACGTATCTCGTTCTTTCCAATACCTTACAACACATTGGAAAATAATCAGAATCCCAGTGTTTTTCAATGAATAACAACCGAAACGAACATGTTGAAAAACCGAACAAGTCTTTCGATAATCGCGATCAGGTTGTTTGCTGGACGATATTCGAGAACCAGCAGAGGATCTGCCAAAGTCACCGAAGAAACGCTAGACGAGCATTCCTTGCCGCAGAATGCTCACACCTACGAGAACTGCTTCTAAACCGGTAGAATCCAGTTGGTAAAGCGATTTATAATCCCGAAGTAAACTCATACAGTGTGTTAATTATATCTATCGGTGCTGAAAACATTTTCAAAGTATCTGTGAATTCAAATCCGCCGATTAAGAAACCAGTTTTCGCACCAATTCCATCATTCCTCTCTTTTTCGTCGCTCGAATTCATCTTTTATTTTTCTCCCTTTTCGCCTTTTCGTCTCGACGGGACAGCCCTCTGTCGTTATTTTTTCGACACAGCATTCCACGTTCAGGCCAAATTTCCAGGATAAATCGTAACCCATTCCGTCGAACTTGGTCTTTGATTTCGATATTCTATCTTGCCACATGGAATTACGCAGGATAGAATGTCGAAACGCTGACTGGAGTTAAAAAAGTCGCTAAGGTCAAAAAAATTTGTCAAGGTAAAACAGATTTTTAAAACTCTGAAGTTCTACTTGAAGCTTAATTTGAAGAAAAGATATAGAACCTCTAGAACTCCTGGGCTGTTACGTAAATTTCTAAATCACGAGACACGCTACGTTTTCTTACATATACTTGTTTTCTCATAAGCAATAACGAGGAGTTTTGAATATTAAATTTAAACATGTATATGATGGTAAACAAAGTTCTGAGAATCTTTCGCAAAAGGAAAATAGTTTTAATTTGACGTTAACAGATTTTTCGGTTCGAAGAGTCTTTTAGGTTTTAGGGTTAATCGTTTCATCTACATGTTATACGAAAATCTTTTCCTTCTTTCTTTTTTTGGAAAATGCTTTTTAGAAAATTTTTACCATTACATTTGCACGACATACCTACAAGTACTACAAGTAAAGAGAATTAATTCATCTTAAATTGTTGAATAATATAAAAAAACGTTCTTAGATACACCAAAGAATACGTTAAAATCATCCATTTAAAAATTAGCAAAAGTGATAACTACAAGTGATATACAGTAATTACAATTATTTTACTTAAAAAAAATAGTCATTATTTAAAAAAATAATTATTAAAAACCAAACAAAAATTCTGGTTTCTCAAATTAATCTGTGAAGGTCAATTTATGCTCCGCAATATAAACAACTAAATTAACGAGAATTACTAACTAAAGTCATATCATTCAATCGAAAAATAAACAAAATATTTAATTTTTAGAAAAAGCAATTTTTCCACGATACCGAATTTACAAATATTTTTTAAATATTTTTTTCACATCTATTTTAATATACAATGAGCAACGAAAGTATTCGAACGGCGATAGATAGAAAATAATTGATTATACAAAAATTGTACAATAAATTGCAATTTATTGAAATAAATTGTTTTTATACCATTGTATATACATTTGCTAAATATGTGCAAAGTTAGAAAAAAATTAAACACTAAGTAAACAAATTACATAACATTTTTCACGGGTAAGTACATATACAACATAACAAAAGTATTCGAACGCTGAATTATAAACACTATACATTGTAAACACAACTGTCGCAAGGTCTAAATGTAAACAAAAGATCTTCAATGTATTTCCAACAGTATTTGAGAGCAAACGGAATTGAAAGTTAGACGTTAACCCGTAATTCAAAATAACGAGTGGTACAATATTAGAGACAAGTAAACCCGAACGAGAAATTATTGTTAAATTGCACAAAGAAGGTAAAGAGATTGCTTCTCTTGTAAGCAGAAGCAAATCAACAATTCATTATATGATAAAAATGTATAATACGAACGGAAATATTGCAAATGAACAAAGATCTGGGCGTTCAAAAAAATTAACACCACGGGAGGAAAAATTACTTCTGCGTGAAATAAAGAAAGATCCGTTTACATCTGCTCCAAAATTGGCAACAATGGTTGTTAAAAACTTTAATAAAGAAGTACACGTCCAATTATGTCGAAGAATGTTATGGAAAAACAATTCCCATGGTAGAGAGAAACCATACATTAGCAAGAAGAATAAATTACTTCGTTTAAAATTTGCCAAAGTGTATATAAATAAGGACAAAAAAAAATTTTTGGAACACTGTTATTTTTTCGGATCAAAGTAAATTCAATTTATTTGGGCCCGATGGTAAGAGAATAGTATAGAGGAAGCCAAATAAGGAGTTGGATTCAAAAAATTTGAAGTCTACGGTGAAACATGGTGGAGGCTCCGTAATGGCATGGGGTTGCATGTCCGCTAATGGGCCTGGAAATCTCGTATTCATCGATGGATCATGAACAAAATCATGAACAAAATTAAATATTTAAATATTTTAAAAGAAAATTTAATCAACAATCCCGAAAAATTAAAATTAAATGTGTCAAGAAATTTTTACTTCCCTGCAGGACCGAGACCCTAAACATACGGCCAAAATAGTACAAGAATGGATTAGATAATGTACCCCATACATTATCCCACCACAGAGCCCTGACTTAAATCCCATCGAACATTTACGGGAAGAACTCGATAGGAGANAAAAGAAATAATATAACGAGTAAAGATTCTTTGAAACAAAATATCCTAGCAGCGTGGCACTCTATGGATTCAAGTGTTACCAAAAAGTTAGTCAATAGTATAGAAAATCGAGAGGTTATTAAAGCCAATGGTGGCCCAACTAGATATTAAAATGCAATATAATCACATATATTGCATTCTGTCATGACTATTAAAATTACGTTCAAATACTTTTGTTATGCCTTATATGTACTTATCCGTGAAAAATGTTATGTAATTTGTTTACTTTTTGGTTTAATTTTTCTCTAACTTTGCACACATTTAGCAAATGTATATGCAATAGTATAAAAACAATTTGTTTCAATAAATTGCAATTTATTGTACAATTTCTGTATAATCAATTATTTTCTATCTATCGCCGTTCGAATACTTTCGTTGCTCACGTTGTATATAAAAGTAAATTACTCAGACTGCCGTGCTTCATACATTTAATTATATAAATATTACATTTACGAACTATTAATTTGAGAAATTTCATGTCATTTCAAAATTGAAATTTTCAAATGTAGATCTCAGGTGTAGTTGTAGCTAAATTTCCATTTACTTCTGTGACAAAATTATAATTAATTGTCCATCCATACTACGACTTGCGAGAATTACAAATAGTATCATAATTTATAATTGCTACAAATAAATTATTCGACGCAATGATTTTAAGATGTCGATAAAAATAAAATTTACAAAATAATATAAAATTTTGCAGGGTATAGATACACAGAGGTATGTAATTTCCTAATGTTATAAAGGATTAATTGATACATCAATACAACAAACGATAATAAAGCTAGTAAAGTAGTCGGTGCAAACAAGAATTAATTTCTAGTGGAGGCTACGAAATGAAAATTGGATCTCGGGTAGCTGCAGCAGTAGCCTGCGTGGCGCGTAAACCATCGGAGGATAACCATCGGAGAACAGTGTTAACATCAGAAAGAAGAGAATTCCAATTGGATTTCGACGATGCTTAGAAATGCATGAGAAACAAAAAAAGAAATGTCAAAATTATCTCGTACGTAAGAATAACGGCGTTGTCATTGGCGACGAATGTCAGCGTTCCTTCATTATCAACTCTTTCTACTTCTACGTACATACTTGTGCACGGTTACTTGCGTATACAACGAATACGAGTAGTAATGACGATCGAGCAGCGTAAACGCGATGACACGAACGAGAAGAGACAAGAGAATTGACGATGAGTGCAGGCGCGCGTACGCCACAGAGGGAACGGTAATGCGTATTATACATAGGTATAAAACGTGTGTAGAGTGAAAGAGAGGAGAAAAGACAGAATAATGACTTACTGCGCGCGGCAAAGGTCATGATGACGTCGCTCTGGTCGATGGCCCTGAAATCCTGACCGGTGAGGTCGAACTCGCCGGCCCTACGTTGCTGCTCGCCGATCGGCTTCTCATCTTCGTCCTCGCCGAGAGCGTTCTTGTATATGTCCAAGAGGAACTTGGGCGCCGACCTCTTGACCTGCGGCGGCCTAGCGGCCGTGTTTTTCGGCCGATCCGGCAATCCAAGAAGATTCAATATCTCGTGCTCGACCTCGCGTTTCTCGCGTTGGCTGATCACTCTATGGACAATCGTCTGGTCGAAACCGTTGTCGACATAGAGGCCACTCATCCTTTCCGCGGCGGCGGTGCTCGTCAGCCCGGCGAGGATCGTGCCAAGGATCAGCAGGGGCGCGAGACGGCGCGGCGACATCTCAACGCGTCTTTCCGCTCGAGACCGACACGGGCCGGAAAGCACCATTCTACCTCCCGTCGCTTCCACCACCACCTCCACCAGCACCACCTTCCTCTACGCCACCGCCTCCCCCTCCTCCTACGACGGCGTTCGCACGGCGACGACGTCGTCGTCGTCGTCGTCGTTCCTATCGAGCCACCAACGTGGACGCCGAGCGGGATCGCCGAGGCGATCGCGAGTCACGATCCAGATGCCGCAGAATCGATCAATCTTGATCGTCCGCTCCGGAATCGCTATGCGATGACAACGCGCCAAGACACACTCTCTTCTACCGTCTTGTATCGTCTCAACGAGTGACTATGATGCCAACTTCCAACTTACCGAGTACCTTTCAAACTTTTTTCTTTTTTTTTTTTTTTTTTTTTTTTTTTTGCTTATCTTTCCTTTCTTCTTCCCGTTTACCGTTACTTAGTACCAGTATTTTCTTCTTCTTTTTTCCGTTTTTTTTGACCACTCGGTCCTAGCGTACTCCACTGATAAATTTCAATCAACGCAACAATATATAAACGACATATTCATTCGTCCGTTTGTTGTAGTTGATCGCTCCACGATAATTTCCCTATCAGTCTCGATACACCGATCGACTTTTTTTCGTTTCTCGCTGTTTCCAAAGTATCCCACACGCGAGAGTACTCGCCGAGCGTTAGTGTCAATCGATCGAACTCGATCCGCTCTCGATCGTGTTCGTTCTTGATTCCCCCTCACTACTGCGATCGAGGATCGGCAAAAAGGTACGTAACAGCGCGCACTTGGTCCGCGAAGCAATTTAAAGGATACACGGGACGCATGTTCGCGAAACGCGCACACGGCTGTGATTCTCGAGACCGATTCGGTGACCAACGATGACTACTGCCGCCGACTCCCGCGATGCCAGTGCCAGTCTGTTTGTCTGGCCCGTGCCGTGCACCTCCTTGTCGTCGCTGCTCCTCCGCGAGGCCTCACCACCGCCTCCCAGGGCCGTACCGCTCCTCCGACAGAGCCACGCCTCGCTTTACCTTCCTCTTCGCCTTTGCCTCTGGCTCGCTCGCTTCGCTTCGCCTCACTGTGCCTCCTCGGCGCTCGCCTCACCTCGCCGCCAATCGCCCCACGACCACTCGCTTCGTTCGCCTCGCGTTCGGCTCGACTCACCTCGCACTGCTTTTGCCTTGCCACGCCGGTAGCCACGCGTACATACTCTGATCCTTTCCTCTTTCACCGCTGTGTCCTGTCCTGTCCATTTCTCTCTTCTCATCTTATTTGTTATTTATATATTCACGTGTCTCTTTTCTCTCTCTAAACCCTCTTCTATCGACTACTAACGCCATTCGTATCAGAAATTAGCAAGACGATCAATGTGTAATTTTTCACGTAGTTACTCAGATTCACGCTAGCGACATTTTTTTTTTTTTTAGCAATTTTAGTGTTTCCTCGTCACATGTATAAACTGTAAGCTTGTATTCGTTGTTGCATTCCCATTTCTCTAATATAAGTTTCATGCCTATATCTTGATCGTCGATAAATCTAGCATTAACGAAACTTGAAGCTAGCAAATCGCAAGCTTCAAATTATCAGCGAAGCAAATATAGTTTTGCAAATGAATCGCGAATTAGCTGATTATTCTCGAATATAAAATTATAAAATTGTGGAACGTATAAATGTCACTTGTCGCTTATCAATTCGTTAAATATTATTAGTAAATTGTTTAAGAAGACTTTAGTTTTCTTTACATTTCTCTCTTCTAATCTTCCTCGCGTTTCCCTTCCTGACATCTGCTTTGTGCAATGCCCTCTTCTCTTTGTTTCGTGTAGGACTACAGACTTTTCTTTGCCTCTTTTCTTAATCGAGTCATTTCACGATACAGTTGGCGAAATTAAAAGTCTCGTGGAATGTCTAATGTTTCATTCCTCAAAGTATTCATTGCGAGATGTTTTGAAACGACAAGTACTAGAAAATGAAATTTGTTTACTGAATGTTGCGACCACGGTTCGAGCAACGTTATATGGGAATTAATTATTAAAAATTGTCTGATAAAATTTATGCCAAAATTCCAATATAAAAAATAAATATCTTTACGTGTATGAAACTGTCAATATATAATGTGATTGTAATTAAATTCAGTTTACTACCGCAAGTACCTACCTGTATTTATTTTAAACATTAGTAGATTTAATTAATATAAATTACTTTATATACTTGCATTCTGTCCTAAATAGGAATTTAGAAATATTTAAAAATAGAAATATTTACACAGAATACAAATAACATATAAAATACAATCCACTTTGCTAATTTTTAGAACAAATATAGGTAATTTGTAGTAGTAAAATTGAATTTAACAATCATTACGTCATTGTAAATTGAATATTCACGTTATATATATTAAGTTTGACAATTCTTACACGCAAATCATTCTTCACGCGTATTTCTTTTACTCTTGTTCCATTATAGCATTTAATTTTCCGTATTTCAATCAATTGTTTTTTTTTTTTTTTTTTTTTTTTTTTTACCCCAAAAATTTTTTAATTTTTCTTTTTTTTTTTAAAAAAACACTTGTATCAGTGTATACACGAATCTAATATCTACATTAATTAAATTAAATTGTGTAATCCATTATACGCACATGTATGCGCTGCAATTATATCTTTCATGTAAGTTACAAGTAGAACTCCATTTATACGAACTTGTCGCAGTTTATATAATTGAAATTCATATAAATAGGAGTTCGCTGATCCTCCTCTCTATTAATTTAATTTTCCATTCAAATAATTTATTCAAAGAATTTAGGTTCAAATTGAATAGGTAAAAGTTTATTCGATCGAGTATTGATAAAAATTTTAGTTCAAATAAATGGAGTACTTTGTACAAGATGCCATTTTGAAATGAAATTTTAATTCCTACAATGTGAACAATAAACAAAGTGTTTGAGATATGAATGTTCAGTGATTGGAAACAAGAAAGTGTTTATCTGTTGCTTTCTTTCAATTTTTATCTTTGAAGTCCGGAATTCAATTGTAGAATATTCGGGATGTCCGTCAATATATAATGTGATTGTAATTAAATTCAATTTACTACCGCAAGTATCTGTCTGTATTTATTTATTTTAAAGATTAGTAGATTTAATTAATATAAATTACTTTATATACTTGCATTCTGCCCTAAATAGGAATTTACATACTTGGGTAAATACATACTTGTATGACGCAAGTTACGACATCATAAATGATACGATCATCTTGATTCAATCTACGAATGAAATATTGCAACAAAAACGTGGAATCAAACAAAATTTATAATTTGTAGTTCTTTTAACGAAATAAAACATTTAAAAAATTATCCTAATGAACTCAACTAGAACTCAATCTCTATTGAATCTCCAAAAATCCAACAACTATTCTTCTCTACAATCTTTTAATAGTTAACGAACTTACAACTTATTAATCTTTTCACTAAAATTGAGGAGTGACGGAAATTAAAAAATATATTCGTCGAACACAAATTAAAAAAATATATCATAAAATTAAATTGGATTATAACGACATAAAAGTAATAAGCAAAATATAATACCTGAAATGGTAAATTGTGAAAATGAAACAGAAATGATAACTTAGAAATTTGTTTTTATTCTAACATTCTGTTTCAAAATAAATTTCGGAAAACAACAGTTTTACACACTGCAGTTATTAACAATTCACCGTATGTGCAGTCTTTTCAAAATAAATTTTTTTTATTTCATTGTGGCCTCAAAATATCCTAACGTGTCATAGATTTGCAAATAGTTTTCTAGTTTTCATAAGAGATATTTTTGATTAATGTATTCCTTCTCGCATGACGAATAATGCACAAACACAAGCAACAGGACGATGTTTGATCAAACTCGTATGCACGTAGCACATTAAATAAGAAAAGGGGAAATTATTCGCACATTCGATCGTTCTGCAAACGGCATGTCGCGATAATGTTCGATAAGATAGATAGATAGAGAGAGAGAGAGAACGTGTTGCCATAAGGGAGATGATAGTGATAAAGAGAGCCGCGAAAACGAAGGATAGCCAGTGGCAACGTGAAAATGTCCTGCTCACGATTAGATTGTTCTTGCGTATAACACTTGTCGTACGCCTAACGCGGCATGTTCGTGGAATGTTGCATGTAATATCAGATGTTTGCAAGGTTTCGAAGAGGTTCGCGGACGCGTGTTACAATGTAACTATTACGTAATGAAAGGCTGATGTCGTTCGAGCACGGGGAACGACAGAATTCAATCAAAGTACATAACGTTATTTACGTGCGTTCGTACCGCGCAAAATTTCTGCAACCATTCTGTCTCGGTACGACTCTGCGACGATTGCAAATTTTGATTTTCACTTGGGATCGTTTGCGATCTTTTCGCACGTGACTCTCGAGTGTTAAGAATAACAAATACGAGGAAAAATACGGTAATGGAACACGAGATGTAAATAAGAAGAAATTTCGACAAGTATCAGCAGGTAAAGAATACCTGTTTAAGAGTGGATCGATGAAGCAGGCAAACTTCCTTGAATTGCATAATTTTCTATGATAAAAATTTTGTTTGTTCGTCAGAATAAAAAATTAAAAGATTCGCAAAAGATTCCTTTCGCCATCATCATCAAATAAACGATTTTGTTAATAAAGAATACAAAAAAAGGCAAAGAATAATAGTGCAGTGATAAATAAATAAAATAAAATTGTAAAAGACAACAAATACATGGGTATGTAACTGTTAAAAGAAAAATATCAATTTTGAGAAAAATATAGGTACATTAAGTTCTTTTTTTAAAAATCATAAAAGTTGAGTGATCTGGTAGGCATTAATAAATTTATTTGATATTTGGCGGGAGAAAATAATTTACATTCTCGTGAGATGAGTAATCGATAATATTTGTATACCATTCCAGTCTTTTTTCGTTTACAATTTTAATTTGAATATATTATATTGCCAACTGATTTTTTTCTTCATTATTTTTAAGTTTGCAGTTATACATCTTTACTACTTTATTCAAATTTGAAAATGAAAAAATTCTTCTTTACAATAACAAAATCATAGAATATACAATATATAAAACAAATCTATAAAACAAATCTGTAACATATTTATTTATTTATTGCATTGTTTATTGACTGAATTCTTAAAATCTAAAAGTCGTTTCCTCCATTTGATAAGCAGAGCATGTTTATGAAATAACAATTACAATAACAAACTGAAATGTCTCTTGTTTAATGATATTATACATCAACGTTTAACGCCTAAAAGAAAGAATTCACTGCTTTCACTTCTTCTCGAACAGACACGCAACTTTCAGAAGCACAACGTTAAAAAAAATAAGATTCTTCATACAAACTGTTCGAACAGATTTATATAGGGAAAGAGAACAGCAACGCTTGTGTTTACTCCTCGAATTACATCCACTTCTCCTCGTTCGCTTTTACGATCGTCATATAATCACGAAACAGCCAAAGGCAATATTCCACTCGTACATATACAGAAAAGAAGAAACAACAAAAGATTAAAAATTGAGAAAAGGGATAGAGACGAACATTTTATAAACCGAACAATGCTGCAACGACTAATCGGCGATGCAAGAAAGAAAAACCGATCGATGCAGATTCGTAAAGAAATTTTCTTCCGAGCCAATCCACTGAATTTTCGAAGACATTTGCACGTCCCTGGGTCATAGAGATAGGACCGCCCCTGCCGAAGAAGTAGGCGGTGTTCACCAGCCCTGATCGTTGGTATTACTCGGCACTCTAACGTGGTACCGGAGATCAGGGTTAGCGAAGAAACGGTATGCGATGGCGGCCGACCGAACCTGAACATTCTTCCACTTTTTCAACCCCTTGGATCTTTATCAGCTCGCCATCAGCTCGCAGACCAGCTGCGTGCAATTTCTGCCCGATAACTGCCGCTGTACCATAACCGTTATCGATACTTTTCATCTGGAGGAAACTGTCCACCGTTTCCGGCCCGAGGAATGCGGGAACGGCCGTGTAAAAGAATCCACTTGAAAGTCTATAGACTTGGAAGTGATGGATCGAGCTAGAAAAATGGAGCTTATCTCGGATACTGCACGGCCATGGTGAAGAATTTACAGACAGTTATAGGTAACGCAGCGGGATGGTATGCAGCGGTTGACGAAAGTTGACCGTACGAGAGAGGTTCCTTTCGAAAACGCGCGCCTCCATGGCATACGATCTTTAAAAATATTTACTTGTGGATATATATCTCGTATATTCCTCGTTAACGATTTAGATATCTTGAGGATAGAATTTGATTAGAAGACGATCGTTTATTACTTCAACGAGATTGCTTACTAATTGCCTAACACCCATTGTGTTTCATACTCTATGAGAATTGCTATTGCTCTCGATTATTTTAAAAATCTCGTCTTTTAAAAAATATAGAAATTGCTTTATGAAGATCAGAGATGAATGACATGTAACAATGAAAAATATATTACGTTACGAAGGGCTCTTTTTTTAAAACATTATTTCTTAGTAAATATTGTAATTTCGTCTACAATCAAAGTTGTATAAAACAATAAAACAGAAAATTTTTTGAGGATATATTTTATTTTATATTCCTTTCACTTAATTAACAATTATTTGAACACACATCTATAATATAGACATGAGTGATAATTATTTTTGACGTTGTTAAATCATTTGTTCTGCGTCATAAATTGTTTGTAACGTCACATATATGAAATCGATTACATATATGTTTATATAAATATAACAAATAAATGTAATTTCATCGTATCAAATTAAACGAGCGTCATAAATCATTATATGTTCATTATACGTTCTAACAACTCGTTAACAACGTTAACAGTTGCAGTTCATAAATTGAAAAGAAAAAGATTTGCAATTTTTAAATGGAAAGACAAACAGATTCAAACGACCGAAAAATCGATGTCACGAAATTCGTGTTTTATGTAGAGAATTTTTCATAGATGTACATACATACATACAAGAAAAAATAAATCGTGTGTCATTTATGCGCAACCGACCATAAACGTAGAAGGGGTCGGGGTGGGCGGACGACGGTGAAAGCGAATCGGAGACGGTAGTATCATTAATCTGCCAATAAAGCCAGCGCAACGCTTATAATATCCAGTTTGTTGTAAGAGATATTTATTTACTCGACACAATTTCTTCGTTGGTAGACATTTGCAGATTGACAAAACAAAATTTAAAAAATAAGAGAAAAGAGGGTTCAACTCGATCTCTCTGGTTCGGCTTCCAAGTACGTAATTGTAAACCATCAACTGTTTATAATATATTGTCGTGTACTTTACTTTTCTAAATGGATTTTCTCACTCAATAAAGCGCGAGCGAATAGAAATTTATCAGATATTTTTAAAGGTGATATCAAGAGATTTTACTTGTTTACTTTGAAATTACTTGTTCCTTTCTATCTGGATACGGCTTTGCGCTGCTACTATTACTTACAAGTAAATGAGTTAATAATATAGCTAGCAAATGAATCCTTTACACAATCTTAACAATTTTTATATATTCGTGAAACATTCGTTTCTAAATTGTAGTTCCAACGCACTAAATTTTCAATATAGATTTTTTTTCCGTGACTATGTATGCATTAAGAAATAATTCTATAAACAAACAATTAAAATTCATTTGGCTCTTGCGAAACTTTTAATGAAATGAACTAAGCATTGTTTTAATCTTGATTGATTTATATTTAAAAAATAATTTAATCAATTCATTCTACTTTCATTATAAACATAACTTTCATAAAAAGAAAAATATAATTATTTTTAATTCGATCACACACACACACACACACACACACACACATATATGTATATATACAATTTGGCCACTATAATTTTATATTATTTGAAATAATGCTTGAATTAAATATGTGCTTACACATATGTACCTACACATATATACGCATGTCTGTAGTAGCACATTGCGAAAGAATTTTACTCTTTCAATAATACATTATCTATTAAAATCAGATAATACGAATTAGAGCTATGAAAGATTCTCTAGTAAAGAATTGACAACGAAGCACATACATGTAATGCAGTCTAACAACATCATTTTTATACCGACACTAAAGCTCTACTTGGTCACGCAAACAACTTAACCGGTTGTATACGAGAAACATTAAGCACATACCAACGTTCTTCCTACAGGTGTCGGATACATACATACCGCCCATTTATTCCGCAATGTTCGGATCTTAATTCCACGGAGATAATCCTGAAAGCATCTCCGAAGGTGAGGGGAGGAGATACTATTATCAATACATACCGGCTCACCCAATAAAACGTTGGTAGCTTACAGACCTGGATCGTCATTCTGCACGTTCGTGGATGAAACTCTTCAAGAAAAGCAAGAGATGCAGCGGTTCTCTCTCTCTCTCTCTCTCTCTCTCTCTCTCTTTCTCTCTCTCTGTGCTTCCCTCTGCTTCTCTCATCCCAATTTTTTTTCACTCGTTCAATACGTTCTCTTTCTCGACTAACCAACAGCAACGGAATAAATAAAATAAATAGAGGAATATAGGAGGTAAATAAAAAATATAGCAGCAGAAGAGAGAGGAGTGAGGAACGGGAGGACGAGAAGGAGGTAAGGAGAAAAAGAGAGTTAAAGGGAAAGAAGGAGAGGAAAGAAGAGAGAAAGGGAGAGGGAGAGGAAGGGAGAGTGCCCTCAGGGCGAATTCCCGTCGAGCATCGGCCGCTGCAGAATCCAGAGGTGCGTTCACCGGGGAAATCCCTCCCTCGGAGATTATCCTCTTGAAGAAAACTCGACGACTCTACATTTTTAACGTGCCATTCGTTCGACCGACCATCTCCTTATTGCATTTGTTTTGTTGAACGCACACTTCTTTTTCTCTTCGTTTCATTTTTAAAAAATCTTAATCTACATCAGGGAAAACTAATAATGAATCGGACTTGTAAAAATAGCAGAAAATAAACGAGATTAAATTGCAATTTAATTGCGATGTTTCGGTTAATCGATGTTTGTATATAGAAATTTGAAAGACTCAATTTCATTCCCCAATTTAATTTTTATGTTATTATTGTTTTATAATATAGCAAATGGATAAGGTGAATAATAACAATTATTGTAATTTCACTTGGCTATTTATTTCATTAATTTTCATCAACTTACAAAATTGGTCATTCTACGATAATTTCATATTTTCCTTTTTACAGAAGAATCCGGAGAAAAAACACCCGATACAACATTGACAATCTATCTGTGACAAAATAATCAAAATACCTCTAACCTTCTTTCTAACACTATTGCAAACAAACAATACGCACTCACCGAGGAAAACTTTTGAACAAAATATCAGTTATTGCCAATTAACACAGCGAAAGATGTAAACATTACAAGAATCACGGATCGTCAGGAATAAATCTAAACAATGGTATTTAGATGGCATCGGGTGCCTGTCGTAACTAATTTGAAGATTCGAGAGGAAGGGAAAAAGGATGGAATCGACGATGACGAATTCAGCCAAGCCACACAGAGAAGCGATCGGTCGTACGATAGAAATCTCTTCCCAAAAATTATCTCGAAGCGATCTACCAGTAAACGGTCGTCTTTCTTTCTTCGTCTCTCCTTCGAGCCAGGCCGGCCTCGCGTGTGTCCCTGTTGCGTTAGTTAGTTGGCCAGGTCGGTGCCAGGGAGTCTACCAGCGATAACCAGCTGCGAGTCGTACCGGTAGACTGCCTGCTGCCTCCGGCTGCTCCGAAGACCCTGGGACCGGTTATACTTGACCCAGCGGTTTACACGCGCTTGCCGCCGTCAGTACTACCACCGTCGAGGCCGGATCACACCGCTACCGAAACACATACCTACATTGCCTGAATAAACTTCACCACACTCGACTAGTTTGCTCTCTCTCTCTCTCTCTCTCTCCTGGTTTTTGCTCTCTCGCACGATTAACGATCTCCGTCAGACCAATACTACAGGCTAGCTCAACCTGTTTCATCCTATTCTGACTTATCCCATTCTCTTTGTCTTCTATTCCAAATATTTGTATGCTTATTTTTACATGTGAAGAATTCAGACGATTCCATCGCGGAGTTATCAAAGTGACTCTTGGAAATAAATCGAACAACGAGATGTAACTGGATTTTGAAACTGAGAGAACATCGCAAGCTTCTATTTTTAGATCCAGTTGCTTTTAGTTTATGGAATTTTAATTTAATGGATTTCGAGACATAAAATAATCATAAATGTGTATAAACATATATTATAACTGTCCAAATATGTACAATAACATATACTTATGAAATTAGTTGTCTGTAAGATTCTTTAATTTGCAAGAATAATTTGTGACAACATTGACTGCAATACGAAATACTTATAAATAGTATGATAACATTAACTTAAAGCTAACTAAAACTTAAAGCTATTTACAAATATCGCATCCTTCTTGTGGATTTGTTCACTTAACATATTTTTCCATAAATTTACGATGAAATTCACTTCGTAACGAGTCATTTATAAACACATCATGCTTCTTTTTTGGTTCAGAACGAGCACAGTTCTTGAATACGACATCATCGTCCCATCGTCGTCTGACTTTCATATCTGTTCTGCCACTTTGAGAAGAATAACTTAATAAAGGATTTCCAGAAAGAATGTTTTCCATTCTTATTCTTTCCTCTTCCTGCCTTTTCTCCATTTCCTAGAACATGAAGAAAATAGAACATTATAAAGGCTTTAAAAAACACATAAGATTAAATTTATGTATAAAATACATAGTATATGCAGAAACTTTACCTTTTTAGCTTGTTCTGCAGCTCTTTCCTTTTTAATACGTTGCAATTCAGCTAAAAGAGCAGCAGTATCATCTTCATCACTTTCTGACTCTGAATCATCATCATCAAGAGGATCATCTGCATCTAAACTTGCCGTAGGTACTTGATCAATTTTTTGCCTTTTGGCAATGCTTGTTGCAGATGTCTCTCGAGGTGGCTCTAGCATACGACGATTAGAACTTTTATCCTTTTCCCTTTCACGTTCACGTTCACGTTCTTCTAATTCTTTGCGAAAATCACGGTTTCGCAATTCCTCTATCGTTCCTTGTCCATGCTCTCTGCAAATGCAATTCATTAATTCATTAATTTTTCAAATGCAAAAAAAGTGAGGTTATGATGTTCACGTATTTACTCAACCCCTTGGTCTATGATTTCAGTTCCAATGGCAAGGGCCAAAACATTCCTAAGGGTCGGTCGCACTTCCAGCCATTTTACGGTTCGACATTGTGCAGTCGAAATTGTGCCAAACGCACAAGTCTTATGATATTTGAAGGTATAACACAAGGTTTAATTTTGTAAGATGTTTGATAAATTAATTACGAATGATACATAAGTGAACTAGAAAGGTTTATTATATTGAAATGAATAATGGAGCAATACTATTTAATTCACGTTTGGCCTAATTGACGTATTGCGAGCCTAACACATGACATTCAAATTTGGCCCAATCGACGTACTACGAACCTGACACGATATTGTAGGCGAAGAGGTCAATCAAAAAAATTGCATACAAGATTTTCTTGAATAAAAGTAAACAAATATTATTAAATGAAATATAATACCTGTATTTTAATTTTGTATGAGACGGTAAATCTCTGCTGCTATATTGTTTTGAAATTGCACTTAAATCTTTTTCACCACGTCCTTGTCCTCCTCTAGCAGGTTCAAACGTAGGTCTCGCGGCCGTAGTCATTTCTCTCAATATTTTTCAATACAAAAACAATAGTTTTTTCTTAATAAGTTTAATAACACGTTTCAAACGTATACGTTTTCAGACACGTTTTCACAACTGATCGTTCGACACAAAAGGAAGCCACTACTCTTCACGTACGTAGTAATTGCAAGTTCCCACTAGAGGTCCTGAGAACGACACTACACTGTAGCGAATCTCTAACAAAACTGCACTGAAGAGAATCTGTAGCGATACTACACTGCTCAGAACTGTAGCAATACTACACTGCTCGGAACTGTAGCGATACTACACTGCTGAAAACTGAGAACAATAGCTACATCCGTTCAACAAAATACAGTGACATCTATTTCCGCTCAATCGTTCCGCCGAAAGATGTGTTTCTGATAAACTGACAGCGCCAAATTAATAAAACTCATAAACATTAGAAAATTTAAAAATTGTTAATCCATTTATTATTACCATGGAGATGTTTGACAAATGTTAGAGATGTATATATAGCAACCATCAAACAAATTATTCGTTATTCGCTATTCGCCATTCGCTATTCGTTATTCGTCGTTTGTTATTAGGTATTAAATATTTAAATATAGAGAAGATTTTAGTTCATATATATTTTGTTACATTGATAATATTTTTATATGAATTATTAAAATACGGAGTTATATTTCTTCGTAGTACGGTGATTGATTTAAATTATCATCATCGTGTCTACGTCCCGGATGCAGACAGCGCCATCTTTTTCAGAGCGCGACAAAAAGAGTTTTCCTCCGTATCATAGGACAAGCCACACAGTACTATTGAAATAAAATTACGTTTTATCGTAAAGTCTCATCATAGTAATTATTATATCAAGTCAGGAGAAAATTTTGTTTTCCGCATAAACCTTTGTAATATATTACTCTCAGAATAAAGTATCTACGGAGTCAATCCTTTTATAGAGCATTCTTTCACCAATGCTAAATTCTACAAATCGATCGATATATCGTTCGATTCCATAAAATTAAAAAATTACGAGCAATACTAAAAATCAACTGAATTTGAAACGCCATATTATATTGTATATATAATATTCTAACAAAATTATATACGAAGTATTTGATTATTGATCTGTGAACGCTATTGATTAACTTTAAAAAATCTCATTGTCAGTTTTACGATTTAAAAAGAGGAGAAATTACGCATTGTAATATTGTTTTGTATATCATCTGTTATTTTATTATTCTTATTGATGAAAGAATTAATAAACAAAATGTTTTTATATTTACGATATATTGAAATATCATTTTGTTAAAATAATTTATATATGATACAAGTCAGAGCACAATTTAAATTTATAATCGCGTTAGAATTCAACGAAATTATTTTATTGTTTGTACGATATTAAAATTGAACAAAATGTTTGAAATTATTCAACAATGATTTTAATCATCGATTAAGAAATGTCATGTTTTACAAATTCATAATATAAATAAATAAGAATTAAATTCTTAAAGTAAGTTCTATATTTTCCATTCAACTATCTACTCATTAAAATTATGATCATAATATTACTCACATACATTTCGTAACATTTATTTTCATGCGCTATTTTATTACTGAACTTAAGCACTTATATCTCGTTATTGTATTCAAAATCTTTCTATATTATAAAAGTTTGCAAAAAATCTAAATTATTGTAGTCAGATTTTTTGCAATATATTATATATCATGGTCAGATTTATATTTAAGCCATCGCATATTTTTAACATATTATTGGACAGTATTTTCACTTTCATTATTAAAGTTTTTGCAACTAAAGAGGCACTGTATCTTAAAACATAATTTTCAAAATTTTATTTAATAAATTCGCAAATTTCTATTAACTTTTTTTATTATTCTATTTCCGTAGTTGAAAATCAATTCTACATACACATAATACATAAAATAATGCAATAATTTATTAATTGTATTTTATATTCAACTCAGTTTTAATAAATATTCATGACATAATTTTTGTATTGTCCAACACATAATTGATTTTCTTAACTAAATGATCTTAATTTGTCATATATATACATTTGAATTAAAATTTTTATTAATTTGAAACAAATCATAATTATTGCCCCACTTATTTGTAGAAAACTTTACTTTTCATAAATTTGTATTTGGAAAAGCAATAATTGAATTTGATAAAATTCAATAACCCTAATCTAACTTAATTTATGAAAACATCAATACGAATGAAATTATGGAGTTATTTCTCAAACTTATTCTTTGAATAAACAATAAAGTTATTAACTTGAAGTCATTAAAGTTATTAACTTAACTTAAAGTTATTCTTTGAATAAACAATTCATGTAAACATAACTCTATTTCTAATAGTATTTCTATATATTATTGATATATTATTTGAGACAAATATCAACACATATTTCCAAACATTCAGACACATTATTATGCATTGCTGATTTACACTATAACTAGACTACTAGTGCAGTCTGAATAGAAGAAAAAATGTCATGGCACATAAATTTTATAATATTCCAATCAAATATTATTATTTCGTAGTTCTTCGTTTAAAAATCCCCTTCACAACTAAACTCTACTAGTAGTATATAAACCTAATAGTTTTAATTTATATATTGAAATGCATAGTTTTTCACTCAGCCTTTTTCTTTCAGTATATGGTTTGTACATTCATTTTTAAAATCAATTACAATTTTGAAAGTAAAATAGTATTGTAATAATAAAAATAATAATAATTAGCTTTATAAATTTTCTATATAATATCCAAATTAATGTATAAATTTTTAAAATTATTAATGCATAATTATCTATTTTTATAAAATAAATACTTTTAATAAAATTTATTTTTTGTAATACTTACAATATCGCTAAACTTTAAAATGAGTAATTTTAGATACAATTTTCAATGAATAATTTTATTATAAACTCTATTGTTTGCTTGCACAAATGTCATAAGCAATTTTGTATTACCAAACTTGCAAATAAAATTAACAAAAGTATAACATAAAATTGACAAAAAATATATTCAATAAAAGAATTTTAAAATAAAATACTGTGTAATATATATTCATAGAAATAAATAAATTATCAAAACAATATTTTATGCATATTACACTGCATATTTTTCACATAAATTTTCCAAAACTTCTTTGCATTGAAATTTATAACATCTGTCTTTCTTTATACAATTAACAAAATTTCATCACAATTTAATTAATAACATTTATATATATAAAACAAAAATTTTTTATTGTTTATTTAATGATATTTTACGTGCAATAAATATAGCGAACTATTTATCGTTTCGAATTATTGTAAATGTTTAAACTTTATATTATAAAAAGTTTAAATACTTGTTTTTATATATACTTAATTTTGCTAAAAGTTATAATAGTGTAATTTTTTTGTCAAAAATCTATCACAAGAAAGTTACATGAAGAAAACATACACATCATATAAAATAAAATCTTCTTGAGATATTCTTCTGTTAGGAGAAATTTTGTTAAGTACATCGTCCGTAAAATTTTATGATATTATTAATCAAAATGAGGAGATATAAAAATTTCATATGGAAGATACTAGTAGCATGTATCGTGATGTCAAGTATCATATTATTCCAACATAATTTTTTATTAGTTGTTACTATACAAAGAGCGTAAAAAAGATATATTAAAGTTTATATGTTTAAATTTCTTAAAATGTTACGTCATAAAATAGTCTCCTCCTCTTGATTGATAATATTTGTATAAATTTGCATAACATTTGCATAGATATAGAATGATTGTTAACTACATATGTTTACATAATGTATATATACGTAGAATAAATTATACAATTATGTACAAATTAACTTTTACACACTTAACATATTCTGATATACATACAAATCGTTGAATTGTTACGTATATATAAATGCCCCTTTAGGTGCTTGACACCAAAATATACTACAATTAATTAAATGTAAATGTATCTTTTTTTTAATATATAAAAATTGTATATTTTAATGTAGATGGTTATAAATCTTGCAACTTGGAAAATGTAATAAATCTCTCATGGAAATAAAATGTATAAATAGTATTTTTGCTTTCTATTTTCTCGAAAAAATATGAATAAAAAGACAAAATATGTAAAAATGTTAAATATGTAAATGTATTAAATGTATTAAATATGGCAGTGATTAGATATTAAAAATCATTTATAATTAGGCCTCAACATAATACTTTTACACCAATCGTTTATCTATGAAATGAAATATTTTTCCATTTCTTCCAATTCATTAAATCGGATCCACACTATACAACAAAATATGTCACATAATAAAGTTATATAACTTGAACTAGAAAATCAAACTTACAACAAGATATAACATTTTTCCTATGAATTTGTTATACATAGCGTTTTGCTATTTAGTATAGAGCTATACTGATAAGTTATAAAAACTTGTTATACAATATTTTTTGTTATATAATACAGATCCAATCGCAAATTAAAGCAAAAAAAAGCTTAGTTGTTCATCAATAAATGATAAAAAATATATATACATAATATATATTCATAGTCAAAGAAATAAATCTGATTATAACAATTGAAAAATTTAAGTAGATGTAGTATGTAGTTTTGCTTACAATTATAATGGCAATATTCATTAATTCATCATTTATAATGAAAGTACTTTTGAGCATATATATGTAGATTAATCATGGGTTAATATAACTCAATTTGTTATCAATCTTTCATTTATAAGAAAAAGTATATTAAAAATAAAGTTACTTCAATCGTAAATGATTTCTTCTATTTTAAGCTGTACTTGTATGATTACTAGCACCACTGATAGCACTAAATAAAGCAGCACTATTACGTTTAAAATTTCCAATTTGTTCATCAGGCCAAATAGGTTCTCCAAGTAGTGATGACAAATTTTGACAAAGTTTTTGATAATTTTCTCGTAATACTTCTTGATATTCGTATTGATCGGATGTAATTAATTTACTATTTATCTGCAAAGCTGTGTAACATATTTTAACAAATTCTCTGAAAATCAGATAATTTCAATTAATAAATTTTAAGTAAGAAATTAACATAATATATTCAATATATACTAAACTTTGAAAAAAACAACAGTTTGAAACAATAATTCCCATAATATATAAAATATATTTTAAGGAACATACCGGAAAACATCTTTTAATTCTTCAACTTTATCATCTGGATATTGTGGAGAAAGTGCAGGATCTAAAAATGCAGAAGCATATGCAAGTGGTCCAGCATTTACTGTAACGCATATACTTCCTTGTAATCTTAATTGCAATTTTTTTACATCTGTTGGACCTATAAGAGCTACATCTTCTAATTCTTGGACACGCTGTCGCATTTCATCTAAAGCGACTTCAATTGGACTCAGTTCCATTATTCGTTTTTCAACTACTAGAATACGTTTTTTAATATACGGGAAAGAATATTGTGCTGAAATATAATGTATGTAATCAAGTATATATTTGCAAATAGTAAAATATATAACGATGAAGTAAATTTACTTGTAAGTATTGTTCTACGTTTCCACTGTTCTTCTGGAATACCTCTTGCTTTTCCTTCTTTAGTGAATGGAGTTTCAAACATAAAACATGATACATTATGATTTTGTTCAAACTCTGTTTGTCGAGTTTCTAATTCATATTTTTCAAAATAAGGTGTAACATGTGTTACTTGAATATATGCTATTTTTGGATCTAGTTCAGTTATATCAATAGGTATAGAATCCATTATCATTTTAACATTTTCTGAGCCAAATTTTTCAGAGTATAGATGATGGAGACGTTCTGAAATTTCAGATAAAGATGTAACTTTTGGTTCTTTATAAATATATTCTTGTCCATTTTCATCCTCAAAATATGCCTAAAAGCATAATTATTATATTATATTATATTATTATTATTATTATTATTATTATATTATACACTATCTTATACTTATTACATTATTATTATAGTATATATACGAAATGTAATAGAATAATATTATGTTTGTATATTAACAATGTTTACCAAACCAAAAAATGCAATTCTATAAAATCTTCCAAGAAGTCTTTTTCCAGACTTTGTAACTTCAACAATTTTATTACAGGCTTGTGCCAAATGGGAATAACAATTTGCTAAAGCTTCATAATTTCTTTTCACTTCATGTATAGGAACTATTAATCTGTACAAATGTCCAAGAAGTTCAAATCGTTCTGCTTTTTCTAACATTTCAGCACAAAGTTCTAATTGTTCAAGAAGTATATATTCGTTGTAATGAATATCTTGCACACCTAAAATAATATTATTGTTATAGATATAAATAATGTTATTGTTATAGATATAAACTTTTATATCTAGAGTAAAGTAATTCATTTTTAAGTAATTCATCAATATTAGAAAATTTTAGTCTAAATTGAAGCTTAAATTAAAAAATTCATTAAAAATAAAAATAAAAATGTTATAATTTTAATAAATTTCAATAAATATAATTTATTTTTTACATGATAAATGAATCTTTACATGATGTAAAGAAGCAATGCAAAAATAGATGAAAAGTAAAAAGAAAATTAAAAATAATAAAAAAAACGTAATTAAAAAAAAATTAAAAAATATATAATACAAACGTAATTAAAAAAAAATTAAAAAATACATAATACAAACATGTGCAAAACATACAAATCTCACCAGCATCAAGTTTAAGATTGCATTCATCCCTGGAAATGTTTTCAGAAATCTTATCAAAAGCTTCTGCTCCCCATGTATGTACTTTTCTCAATTTTAAATATTCTGCTATCAATGCGGCAATATGTAATTGACAACAAGCAGCCTAAAAAACATAGTATTATAACATAAAGTTAGTGAATTATTTTAAAAAATTTAAAAATATATACCTCTGAAAAATTCCCATCTCTTGCATGATTTCTAGCCATAGTTTCTAACCATGTATGTCTTAGTTCAGGTGTACTGGCGTAAGAATTAGCCAAACTATGTTGTAAATCTACCAACATTTCGGGATCATTATTATGTTCTCTCATTTGAGCTGTGGCCATCAAAACGGTCCTAATTCTTTTATTAAGATCTTTAACTTCTACTGGAAAACCAGTACCTTTCATTACTTTATCAGAAGAAGCATAGCTATTTATTAATGATAACGATTCTTGAAATCTTGAATTATTTAATCCAATAACGTTTCCAAGCATTTGCGAAACAGATATTATTACCTATTTTTGTAAATATAAAATATTCACGTTTGAAATATAGTTATTATTTTAAATTAATATTTTTTTCAGATACTTACTTGTAAATGAACCCTAGTTAAACCCTTCCTACTAGTAAATTCAAAATTGCTCCTCATAAGAAGATAAAGTAAAGCACAAGATTCCTGTCTAATAGAACTTAACTTACTATTACAACAACGTAATAATTCGTAACATAAACGTCCACATAAAACGGCATTTCCTATAAAAATAGTAATATCCAATTAATTAAAATTTATAATATGTAACTATAATATAACTTAAATATAGCTTAAATATTTAACTCTTTTTTTATCTCTATCAAAAAAAAATCACATACAATTATTAATTTTTACCTTGAAACAGAATTATAGAATAATTATTTAGAAAAGCTCTGAAACTGGCAAAAACATGCCGTAACAAAGTTTCAGATTGTCCAACTTGCAAAAATGATAAGTATATACTAAATACTTTCTGCATGATGAGATTATCACCATCTGTTGTTAAGAGCACATCCTATGCAAAAAAGAAAAATTAAATACAATGTATATTTCCTTTTAGCAAAATTTTTTGTGTACCTTAAAATGAATACAAAATAATCCTAAACAATCCAATGCAATCAAACCAACTTCTGTCGCCATATTTGCTTCTAACAAAGCTTGATGCACTTTTCCAATATCGCTTTCAACAAGATTTTCTCGTACAGTAGTATTATGTGGTTGCAAAGTACTAGTAATGGGTCCTTCATTAGAAAAATCAGGAGGTGCCATTCTGGCTGGTAGCGTCATTGCTTTCACTGTTCGAGGCTTTCCAGAATTATTTGTCATATTTGTAGCTATTTGTCTTTTTCCAACATATTTAAAATGATGAAGGCTCATTCTAAAATAAGAAATGAACGTAATAACAGCTATCCTACATTAAAAATAATTTTAATTCGATAGCAACTTACTCTATTACTGTAAAGAAACTTAAAATTTCACAATCACTGCATTGTTGCCACCAAGCAATAACTTGATGATCACCTAAATATTTTATTACAAACAAAAAACAAAGTAAAATATCTTTAACTTCCGATGATTGTAATTTATCACATCTAGGTGATGACTGTGTAACACTTAAAGAACGAGAATGTCTTTTTTTTTCTCCAGTACCATTTTCGATAGATTCACGAATAATAGTAGTTTCTTGTGATATATTCGATTGAGAAATACCAGATATTGTTGAAGTATCTGATTCTATACTAGTACAAGAATATCCATTAACTAATCCCTGGCCTGCTATGGCTGCGAAGTACGTAGAATCTCGTAAATGCATAGATGCCCTTATTGGAGATTGAGTCTCCAAATGTAATGTAAGCCTGCATATGTTTTTTTATGTAAATTGTTTCTTTTATTTTCTTTATTTGTTTTTAAACAATTATGATATTTTATAATTTGTTTTACGTTTACCTATGTATTGATTTTGGAGTTCCAGTGGTCGCAGTAGTACTGACAGTATCTTTATTTGCAAGAAATGAACTGCTAGTTGATATTCTGTTGATACCATTTTGTTTAATTTCTGTCTTATTGTTATCATGTATTGATTGTAATCGATGCAGATTTTCTAATACAATACTTAACCATGGTATATAAATGGATGCTATTCTACTTAACTGACCCTGTAATAATAAAATTATATTATTTTAGTAAAAGTATTGCTTGTATTAAAACAATATTTAATATAACGTTATAATATAATATTATATTACATTAAAAATATAGAGAAAGGTGTACCTTATTCTGATACCTATCATCAAGTTCATGCTTTGCCATTAAATCTCTTAATGTAGCTATTGCCACTTTACGAATTTGTACAATTTCATTTAAGGAAGTTTTAACTTCTTGCATTAATAGTCCAACTAAGAAATGATGTTTGCAAAAATCTTCTGACAAACAATATTCATTTATTAAATCTGTAATGAATATTTCAAATTAATGAATTTATTTCACTTTTCATAATTTTAAAATAGAAAAATATGCACATACAAATATCACCTAAACGAAAGTTTGAACAAAATTAAAATAGCTTAAATAAAGTCTTTTCAATAGTTTGTTATAAATTGTTGATTATTTTGTAAGCATTTAACATTTAAATAAAAAACTATCTTTTATCTAAAATTACCTATCGATTAATATTATTAACTATAATTTTAATTTCGTGAGATGTTTGCAAATTCATGCAATTCTTTTGCATTAAAATATTAAGATAAAATATTAAGTGATGAGTATTAAGATAAAAATATAAGATTTCATATAAAAATATAACATAAAAATGTGAATATATGTGAATCTTCTATACAGGGTGGGTCGTAAAAAAATAGTACAACTGCATTGAAGATGATTCTACATAAAAAAATAAATAATAAATTAAAATAAATATAAAAGTTTTTCATCTGCAGTCTTTTTTCCAAGAAAATCGGATTTGAAAATTCACGAGATATCATTTATTCAATCTAAAGATCTAAAAGATGATGCAATAATTTGATAAATTAAAAAACGAAAATACACTAGAATTCGCTAATTTGTCCTTAATTCATCGAGTCGAATTATGTATGTATGTAGCAGTGAAAATGACATTATTTTTAGTACATGTAATACAATAAAAAATGTATATTTTACAAACACCTGTCGCGTCATTTTAATTATATTTTCAGAAATAATCAAAAACAGAATACGATAGCCAAACTGCATTTAATCATATTTCATGAATTTTCAAACTCGATTTTCTTGAAAACGAAATTTCGGACGAAAAAGTTCTATGACAAATTTTTTGTATATTCATATAAAATTATCTCGATTGTATTACTATTTATTTTGCTATTGTATTTTGCAATGTGCCCATCCTGCAAAACTGTTTAAATTCCATTTCGTAATTTTCAGTGTATTTTAATGAAACAGGCTTGCATAGCAACAAACAAGATTACCATGAAAGTATTTTTTAAACATCTACTGATTGATAACGATTAATAACAAGAAAATAGTATACAACTCCCACTCACTATGGCTACAATAATAAATCATAATAAAAATGGGAGTGTATGACTTAACATACCATCACATTCTGGATCACTCTCTGTATCTTCTAAATAAAGCATAAAATGATTATATTTACAAAATTTTAAATATTAAGCATAAATTTAAATATTAAGTAAACTATTTAATTTTACCTCTTGAAGTAATTCGAGAGTGCATCATTGGTAAATTGAAAGATATATAATGTTCATGTGAACAAATTATTTGCAAAAATGTAAATTTGAAGTCATGTAGTGTACGTTGATCTCCAGGAGAGAAGTTGTCCATGTACAAATTTATTAAACAGAAAACAAATCCTCGATCCATAAATGTAAGACATCGCTATTTTGAAATATAAAAAATTAATAAGGAATATTTAAAAAATTAACATATATAATGAATTACTATTATCAGTAATTATAACATAAAATGAACTTGTTATTTATCTCACTTATTGTCTTTGTTTACAAACAAAAAATTTAACATACTTTTTAATTTTATAAAATTTAAATTTAATATACACATTTACTTACTTTTAAGAATTGTGCAAGACTTTTATTTAATTCATGTGTTTCAACCGGCATTTCTTTATATTTATTCATGAGATAAGGCATAATAACGTCCACTAAACTTCGAATTTTTTCATGGTATTCCACTGAAAATCTTTCATTTCTATGCATCTGTAAAAAATATTATTTGACTTATATTTGTTCACAAATTATATTTTATATGTTATTTATATTATTATTATAAACATACTTTTATCCTTCCTGTCGAAAGTAAATGCTGCGCCATACTTTTAATCATTATTTCAAAAAAGAAACTGGAATGATGCATAAACTTATTTACTACAAGAAAGTCAGTATTACTTGGCTGCAATAATGTAGGAAGATGTTTCCCTAGTTGTTCATGAACTGTTACAATACCGTTTCCTTGAGAGGGTGGCACGAAAACAAACTGTAAAATATAATAATATAATATTTACTAATAAAATTAGTCAATTTTATTAATATTTAGTAATATTTACCTTAATATAAGCTTGAAGTATTTCTTTTCTACCAGCTTCATGCACCATATTTATGAAATGTATTAAAACTCTTATAATATACAATCCAACTTCTTCATTTGTAGTGCAAGTTAATAATGTAAATAGTTGATTCAATATAGTAGGAAGAAATGTAATAACCGTAACTAATTGTACTGCGTGAGCAGCTTTTAATATTTTGCATGTTTCCGAATCTGCTGGTACTACTCCTAGTTTTGTATCTAGGATGCGTTCCATGTGAGCAAATAAATTATGCAAGTGTACATCACGTGTAAAAACAGTTGAAATCAACTGAAACGCTACTGTAAATACTGGTCGTTGAGAATCAACCCATATAATTTCTGGTCCAGCATTCTAGAACCAAAAAATTATAAATAATTATATTATTTTACAAAAATAATAAAATATAAATGTTTCATTTTATTTTTACCCCTTTCCCTAGTCCAAGAGGTTGTATTGAAAGATATCCTGGTGGTAAATGTGTTGCTACAGGTAATACTTGTATATTCATATCCATATCCACATTTAATCTATTTAAAATATACAAAATTACTACATATAAATATATAAATACACACGCACGCACGTACGTACGCACACAGAAAATAACGTAGTATATCAATTACAAATTTTATTTTGAAAACATCTCTTATATTTATATACCATACAATTACAATTATATATTAATATTATGTTAGTAATAATTTTTAAATTTATCATACCTTCCTTTATGCAATAATGGAGACCAAGCATAACCAACACAACTTTCAATACCATTTTCTTTTTTCTTATTCATATCACAACTTATGTGGTAAAAAGAAAACAGTAAGTGATGCTTAGAATGAAGTTTCGATGGAAGTCGTATTTTAATTTCTTCATACCAAGAAGGAACTGCATTATGATGTAAAACTGCGCAAGATGCTCGTAAGCATAAAAGTGGACCACCAGGTCTTCCATATATACACTATTAGGAAAAGATTCAAAAAATTTTAGCGATAGTTTAATACTCTATGAAATAATTTATATTTTACATACTCTTAAGGGTGTAACATTTTCGCAATCATCGTCTCGTAATTCAACAATACATGCAATGTTTCTAGCTCTAGTGAATATTTTTTGTGTGTCAAAGCTGAGAGTTTGCGGATACACATAAAGATGATTAATATAAGTTGTGTATGGATGAACATCTTTCTCTGAAGTACTTTCAAATTCTGGAATTTCAAGAGTTGCTTCAGATATTGGCGGTAATGGAAATGGTTTTAAAGCTGCTAAAGATGTAGACAATGTATCTATAAAAAAAAAAAATTAAGTTTTGTTATTTACATCTATATATGTTATAAAAGATGTTATTTTTTAGATACATACTGTCAGGTAAATCTGTAATTGACTCAATTTTTATTTTCAACCAACCAGGTATCACAGTCAATTTACTAAGTTTTTCAGGCCTATAATAGAAAATATTAAAATATGTATCATGTATAACTTATTATATGTCTTTGTAATGCATACTTTCTATATTCTGAAAGAAGTTTGAGTAATTCTTCATCTTTTATTTTATTTCCCTCCTGCCTATATATTGCAGGAAAGTCTGATGATGTATCCAATTCATTACTGTATAATCTAAATAATGGTCTAGCAGCCCAAGCAAACGGCATTCTATAATTTCCCAATCTATAAAATTTATAACATTTTAATTTATAACATTTTAACTTCTCAATGTGTAGAAAAGTATAGGGTAAAAATATAATCATATACCTTTGGCAACATGCTCTAACTTGTTTATGTACTTTTAAACCTAAACGTGGATCTTTCGTAGCTCTTAAATATGGTTCAGAAGTTTGGCATATATTTCCTTGTAATATTTTATCTATTCTTACAACCAAGAATATGTCAGGATGAGGATTACTAATACTAAATATGGCCTACAAAAGTATATATTAGTAAATTACACAATAATTACTAATACTAATACTAATATGGCCTACAAAAGTATATATTAGTAAATTACACAATAATATTAATATTATTATCAAAAATTTGAAAAAAGAAAAGAAAGAACAAACCTGTTTGGGATATTTAATCCAATCTAATGGTATATTTTTCAAGTCATCTGGTAATTTAATATTTTCTGTAGATTCTGTCATAATTCCTACAGGACTTAATTCTTTTACCATTTCTTGAACAACTTCATGATTAATGTCAAAATGAAAATTTTCCGTTAATTTTCTGCCATTTCTTGCGTCATAAAGACTTAATGTAGTTTGATATGGTTCCACTTGACATAATGATTCCTTTTCATCTATTGGTGCTTGTAATCTAAATTTAAGACTTTCACATTTTACAAAAATTCTCTGTCCAAATTGTTCTTTGTATGGATCAATATTCTGTTCATTATAATTGCCTGGTTGTTGTTTATTATGTGGAATATGAGGGTAAATATCAAACAGTAGTTTACGATTTTCTCGCCTGGCTAATGCTATACTGGTATCTGTTTCCCTAGAATATTTTATCAATTGTGGATTCATGCTTTGTTCCAAGCCTTTGAGTGTTCCATAAACCTACAAAGAATATGAAAAAATTAATTTAAAATATTCAAACAAATTCAAATAATGCTTATCTTTACCTGCATAGGTTGAGGAGAGGGAGGAGGTGTATTGCATGCTCTTTCTAATGAAGCAGCACGTTTTTCTTCTTGTTGTTTATAATGTTGTAATACTGAACTTAATTTTAATAACCAATCCTGCATATCTGTCTCATTGTCTGCTGCTAAAGTATATGATTTGTGGGTCCCGCTCATTCTTAATTCAAAACAGTATCTTCCACGTTTTGGATTCCTAACAACTTCAGTGCAAAAATCCATTACTATCGTTAGTTTAGCTTCACCCTTCTTTTCATCCTTAAAAAGCTCAAGAATGTATGTGCCGTCAACTTCTTGCCGAAGATGACAGAATCTTCTCTTAAATGATTTTGAACCAATATTTGCAAACATACGATCACTACTACCAATTTCTGGACCTTTCATTAAGTAGCCCTCCTTTGTTATTCCATTACTTTTTGTTAATTCCTAATAAAATTGAACAAACTATTTTAACTTCTTATTATTCTCTTATGGATTCATTAATTTAATTTTTCGTACGTTTAGAATAATAATTAGAACAATAATAGATGGATTTGATAAACATTATAAAAGTGACAGCTAAAATTATTTTTCAGCAAAATTATATGAAAAAAACTAACATTTTTTACACCATTAAAATTTGTACAGAATATCTCGTAATCGTGAACAAGCAACTACATTTAAAAATGAATCAGAAAAAAAAAAAACACTTTTTCGTTCAAACCCTTATTTTCAAAAAAATCGACATTAAATATTTATAAAATATGCTTAAATTACATTAATTTTTGAACTAAGCACAAGTGAATACCTAACAGATTATTCTGAAAAATAAATGAGAAATGTAGAATACAATTTTTTCATAAAATATTTTATACAAATTCAAATTCAATTTAAAAATTTATTAAGTGCACGTGTATCAAAAATTTTTAACAAAAAATATTCAAAATCCTTTTTTTTTTGAAAATAAAGCTTTAGAAAAAAAACATTTTATTTTACATTTTTTACTTATTTTTGCATATAGAGTATCTTTGTATAAATCATTTGCTCCTATCCAATACGAAATTAATCAAATTCAAGTATGCTACAAGTATACTACCTGATGCTATTGATACTATAAGTGAATATCGTTTTCAGATACTAAAACTCACATTTTTTTTGTAAAATTAATTAGTATTTTCTTTAGCTCAATAACTATTAGCTTCAAACCCAGCATTGTATTTGACAAATTTTCAAACTCGATTTCCTCGAAATCAAAAGCTTTAATGAAAAAATTTTACTTTTTTTCGACAGTTTTATATGAAAAATCGATTTTCATTAAACACCTTGTATGTAAAATATAATATACGATCAATAAGGATATTCACCTGAAATAACTTGTTTTCTAGTGAAAAAAAATCCTTGAAATGAGATTTATTGCGTTCGAGGCTAATCAGATGAATATGTTTTGATTTTTTAATATTTTACATTTTTAAAGATATCAGGGTAATCTTGACGCCGTATATGTTTTTGATATAGTATTATAGCCGCTGAAAAGACGAATTCAAGAATCTAATATGATTGATGATTGACAGTTGTTGTATCTTGAGCTACAAAATGACACAAAAATCTGTAGTAAATTTGCCAATGTAAATAAATGGAATATGCATTATTGGTGGATATCCGCGATAACTTTGACAAATTCGCTAACAATGGAATGTCAATGATGTGGAATTGTAGATGACATAATTGGTCCCTTTGTTATCGATGAAATTCTAACTGCTAACAAATGCGTTGATTTTTTAAAAGAGAAATTATTCTAATACATATTAATTATCTTATTTTAAGAAGTTTGTTCCGTATACTATGGGTGAATATCGAGAAAAACAATTAATGAATTATCGCTAGATTAGGTGCGATAGCCCCATTCCTTGGCTCCCGCGTTCCCTTAACCCGGGATTACCCACGTGAAGGTCTAGTCGCTGGGATGTACCTGCGCTAGACCCCCAAGTGGGTAATCCCGGGTTAACTTGAGCCCATTAAATTTTTTTTGTGACGAATAATAAAGCAATCTATCGGGACGCAACAACGCCAAAGAATAATGAGCTTTGCAAATAATGAGATTTTGCAGATAAATTACGCTACATTGCAAGCCGTTCATACATTATTTTTTGATAAAGTTTATAAAAATATCGAGAAATAAACTGCTATCTACTCTAAACGAAACATTGAAGATAAGTAATGTATGAACAATCTACAGATTTTTATATTGTATCTTAAAATCACTAAAAGTCATCATATTATAGGTTGTTGAATTCGTCTTTCCAGCAGTTATAATATTGTAAAAAAAATATATGGTGTCATTTAAAAAGGTCTTTAATATTTTTGAAAATGTAAAATATAAAAGTCAAAACATATTCGTTTGATTAGTTCTTGAATGCAATAAATTTCATTTCAAACATTCATTCTAATGATTTTTTTATAATCATTAGAAAACGTTATTTCGGGTGGATATTCTTATTGACTTACAATATAATATAAAATGTATATTATAAATATAATATTATGTAAAATGTAATACGATACAAAAAATAATGTATTTAATATTTAAATCTTATTTAACCAAATATAAATGCAAGTGAATGAAAAACACCAATTAAATAATTCAACAATAATTATAATTCATTTATAAGATTTATGTTAGAAGTAAACTATCTTACCTCATCAACCTGATCTACTTCTGTATCAATTTCGTATACTTCATCTTTTAGATCATCTGTCTTTGCTATTCTAAAAAGTAAGAAAATATATGTAAACTGCTACAATATATTTTATTTTGTATCAAATAAAATTGTATCAAATAACGGGGTATTTGATAATAATGTAAAATATGTGAAATATGATCATATGTAGAAACATCATTACAAGTACAGACTTGTAATGATGTTAAAATAATAAATGATAAAAACATACTTAGGTAATTCAAGATAAGTTCCACTGTATGCTGAATATTTATAATGTATGAGATTCCAATTAGATGTATAACTTTTTAAACATTCTTTTGTAAGTAGATTCTCTCCTCCTTCATTATTTGAAGTTTGTGACACAGTCGGTACTAAAGTGCGATACCTTCTAGGTAATACCACTTGCTATATTAAGAAAAAATATATCAAAACAATTATAAAAATAATTAATTTTTAATAGTAAAATAGAATTTAATTTAAAAAATAAAAAGTTATTAATTTTATTTTTTACTAATTTTTTCAGTATTAAAATTAAAAATGTTATATGTTTATTAAATTTAAAAATTATATATATATATATATATATATATATATATACAAGGTGTTTCCTGTAACGCGACGCACGATTTTTCTCCTACTTACAACCATCTGACAAAAAAAAAGTTTAGAACAAAAGTTGAACGGTGCAAGGTGTACAGTTAGGTATCAGTGAAAAGAAATTTCGAAAACTGTTTGTTTTCATAGCTAAGTCAAGGTCACTTTGGATGAAACAAATGGGAACACATAATTTTTTTTCCACCGTATTGTAGAGAACATCGGGACGAATTCAAACTACATTATATGTTATATTTTTATTAACGTGTTACTCCATTCACAGTAGTGGAAATCGTTGCTTCAGAAGGTTGCTTTCATTGCGGAAATCTATCTCTGTACACTTTAGTAGCTTCTCGAGAATTTCTCTTGCATTCGCCGAAAATTCACAGCACTTCAACTCCTCTCGAAATTTGAAAAAGAACACATTGTTGCAAGCGATTACTTTGTACCAAATATTGGAAATATAAAACGAAGGTACCGCAATGAACACACTGCGAATAGATTCTAGTTCTATGTTTACATTCAATAATCTGAGGTCAACTATGTTTACACTGTCTTAGAATCAAATCCGACGAGAAGTTGAAGTAAGCTAAATACTTCATATTTCCACTACTGTAAATGGAGTAACATGTCAATAAAAATATCATATAATACGTGTTTTGAATTCGTCTCGATGTTCTCTACAATACGGTGGAAAAAAAATGATGTGTTCCTATTTGTTTCATTCAAAGTGACCTTGATTTAGCTATGAAAACAAACAGTTTTCGAAATTTCTTTTATTGATACTTACTGTACACTTTGTGCCGTTCAACTTTTGTTCTAAACTTTTTTTTGTCAGATGGCTGCAAGTGGGAGGAAATCGTTGCGTCGCGTTACAGGAAACACCCTGTATATATCGCGTCGAAAATTGTTTAATTTAGTGTGATTATTTAGTTTAATCTAACTTAACTAGCAATTTGATTTCGTTCAATTTAATTTCAATCGGGAAAATCGCTTTCACGCAAGGAAAAAGAATTTAGTTTTATTATTTAGTTTAATTTGAGTTTAATTCAATTCCATTTTGATTATTAGTTATTAATTTAATTTAGTCAAATACGCGGGAAAATCGTTTCTATACAAGAAAAAAAGAATTTAGCTTAATTTAATTCAATTATTTAGTATAATTTAGTTTAATTGTTAATTTGATTTCGTTTAATTTAATTCAGTCAAACATGCAGGAAAATCGCTTTTATACAAGAAAAAAGAATTTAATTTTATTATTTAGTTTAATTTAATTTAGTTATTAATTTGATTTTAATTCAATTCAATTTTGATTATTAGTTTAATTTAATTTAATCGAATACGCGGGTAAATCATTTCTATACAAGAGTAAAGGAGTTTAGTTTGATTTAGTTTAATTATTTCGTTTAAAATGGCGAAGAAGAAAGATCGTAATAGCCAGTTTTCTTAAGGGGATCGTTGCGAGGAGAAAATTTCAATCATCAAGATCGCGATGCAGATACTCATTTCGCGAAAAGTATTTTTTAATGTTCTCGCAGGCATTTGAATTTTGCGAGAAAACAGCTTTGGAAAAAATCTGAGGCTTACGTTTCAAAATAAAGGGTAATAAACTGGATTATCCTAGGATTTATTATTATTTTTTTTTTTTTTTTTTTTACAAAATTACAACAATTCGAAGTGACAATCTTTTATCAAATGTGCGAACGTTTTCGTCCGTCTCTGTGCGTTTAATTCGGAAGCGAATCGTAACGACGAGCGTGTTTACAGGCTTCTTACTCGCGACCGAACCGGCCACGTGCGCCAGAGAATTAATTAACACGTCACGCGTGATCGCTTGCACGTTCCACCGCTGAATCCCATCAGCGTGGAAGCTTACGGTGTCGTTAAACTGATCGTTATCCAACCGCAAATATCGCTCGTATCGTCGGATCCAACTCTACACATGTGTTCGACATTTTAGATTTTATATTCTCCCGTCAGCCTCGACATTTCGCCGTACGTGGATTTCAAAGGCTCGCGTCATGTGCTTTAATGTCGCTCGAAATAAAATCAGTTCTCGCGATGTCGGATTCCTGTGACACGAAATGACTGACTGGACTGCTGCTGTATTTTAGTGGGTCCTTTGTTGAAAATATTTAACTTTTATTTTAAATGAAAGAATTAGGTTAAGATACGTAAGTAGACAAAAGAATAGCAATAGTTAAGATAAATAATAAGTATAGGATAGAGCAAAATAGGATACAAAATGTATGATTATGTAAATGTTATAACGTGTAAAAGTTAGGATAAATGCAATGCGAAATGTGCAATGTAAAAACCGAAGTCAATTTCATGGCCAAAGAGGCTGAAATAAAAATGTATACATTTAATTTTTATTTTGGTACTTATATTTGTAATTAGCAATTAATTTCTCACAATTAATTGGCACTTATGTTCGTAACTAGCAATTAATTCACCTCACAATTTTTCTATATATCGTCTAGAACTGCAAAGCGTATAAATTACAAATTAATTGTAAGATCATCCTGTAAGTTCGATCCGCTTTTTATGGCAGTTGTTTGTGGTAAAATTTGGAATACACCTGCAAGTGCTATGAACATATGTAATCACCCGCTCGTTCTAAAAAATCTTTTCATCTTTTTAGCGAAGATATAATGCCCTCGCTGTACAATTTTTTATTTTTTTATTTTTCGAGTTCTTTTTTAATAGTGCCAATATTTTTCGCCAACTAAAAAGTGTTACAACGATCAAAATAGGTGATGATCTGTGGGAGAAGACTTCTTCAAAATAATTTGACAATTTACTACATTATTGTTGCATCGTTGTTTGACAATTTAATTCGTATAACTTGAAAATAATATTACTATCAAGAACTCATTTTTCTAAACACTATTACATCTTTTCTTCAAAAATTTAAAATTAACATAATCCCAGATATGGCGATCAACGTGTTAACTTACAATTAGCTAAATCTTAGAGCTAAAGTGGAGCAGTGGAGGGGATCGCCCCACCAACTAAAGAGGTGGGGGAACAGGCCGCCAGTTCTGACTTAATATATTCTTAAAATTCAAAAGTTTTCATCTCTCGTCTGTTTCATTTTCAATGGACATTTTAAATTTCAGAGGGAAATTTCTTTTGGATAAACGGTTAAAAAATCCAATAGAACTGTTAGTTCGTTTTCTCTTTGTTAGCGTGAGTCCAAAATTGTTTGTAAACTGTGAATTATTCTTTATATCGTGTCTAGTGTTAGCTGAATTCAAACACAATATCGATAAATTTTCAAACTCGATTCTCTCGAAGACGAAGCATTTTACAGAAAAATTTTATTCTCCGCTATTTACTTATTTTCTCACGTAGAATGATCTACTAGATATTTTTTTTTTCTGTCACGTCTAGAATTAACTAAATCGAAATGTAATATCGATAAATTTTCAAACTCGATTTTTTTTTAAAACTGCATCATTTTAACGAGCAAATTTTATTCTACATTTTTTATTTATTTTCGCACGTAGAATAACTTTTTGTTAGATGTACCTTTCTGTCGCGTTTAAAATTAGCTAAATTCAAGTATAATATCGATAAATTTTCAAACTCGATTTTCTCGTCAAAATACGAAGCATTTTACAAAAAAAATTTTATTCCACGTTCTTTACTTATTTTCGTAGGTAGAATAACTTTCTTAATTTAATTATTCCCTTCTACCGTGTCTAAGAATTAACTAAATTCAAGCAAAATATCGATAAATTTTCAAATTAGATTTTCTTCGAGACGAAACATTTTGCAAAAAAATTCATTATTCTTCATTCTTCACTTATTTCCGGATGCAAAGTGACCTTCTTAATTTAATTTGATCATTCTTTTCTATCGCGTCTAAAAGTATAACACCGATAAATCTTCAAACTCAGTTTCCTCGAGAACCGGTGGCTTCAGTGAAAAAATTTTATTCTCCCTGCCCGACTCGTTTTCTCACCTCTTACTCTCGTTGCGTCACTAGTTACGGGACACCCTGTGTATTTATTACGTCCTTCACCGTCTCACGCCAGCGGCACACCTACTCGTTCCCGCGCAGAGTCCAACATTTGCATTTTACCAGTTTCATCTGCCTCGGGCGAACCTCGTAGGGTGTCTCGCGAGAAGCAAACGAATGAAATTGAAAGAACAAAGTGGACATCTACTGTGACTGTCTTGTGTCAGAAATAGACGCGCGCGTCTTCCGCGACCAATAAGCGGCGTCCTTGAAATGTCGCGCGGGGTTCTTCGACGAGCAAAGCCTTCGATGTCACGAAGGAAGCCTTCGTGTATCTCTAGCACGAATCACAGAGCATTCCCAAGATTGATTCACGGTCAAGAGGAAAAGAAAAGTTAAGTCACGCGAATTTACATCAGACGCGGGTGGGTGGGATGGATTCGTAGGGAACCGCGTTTCCAAGAAACTTTCGTTTTCTCGATCGATGCGAGGCGAACGAGCCTCTTCTCTGGCAAGCGTCTCGCGCGCGATTTAATAGACCGCTCCGCGTCTCCTCGCGTTAAATGGTTGTTGACCCACGACCGCCGGCAATCGGGCCAATCAACCGGCACGAGCTTCTTGCCCCGCTTTTCCAATCCATGCCGCGGTGAAATGATAATCCGCGGCACGTTCGCGTGCATATCGTATGTATCATCTCTCTTTCGGGATTTTTCGGATTCAACCGATTCTCCGGCTCTTGTGCGCGTAATTGGCGCAATTTGGTGCCGGTGTTTTCGATACGAATACTTCGAATTTGACTGATTCGTAAGACTTGAAAGTAGCTACCAGTAACTCTCAGCAATAT